TTGAGTCGTGTGACTTGAGTTGTGCGATGCTGTTCGACTTGAGTCGTGTGACTTGAGTTGTGCGATGCTGTTCGACTTGAGTCGTGTGACTTGAGCTATGCGATGCTGTTTGACTTGAGTTGTGCGATGGTGTTCGACTTGAGTGGTGCGACTTGAGCTGTGTGATGCTGTTCGACTTGAGGTGTGCGATGCTGTTTGATTTGAGTTATGCAAGTACTCTTGAGTGCTTGTATGCAGTTCCTGCTTTGCTTTCCTTTCCTTTGACTTCAAGCTTGCTCAGGTTCATCAAAGTCAGGGCCAGGCACCATCGGTGCTATGTTTGTTGTGAACTTGTGAGATAGCACGAGCACGAAAATGGGCAAGTTCAGACGAGGGGATTCAAAATTTGAAGTACCGGTATGGCGAGGATGTGGATTTTTTTAGGGCGTACTGGTAGCAGCAGGTAGCGAAAAAACAAGAAAAAAGAAGGGGAAAAAATCCGAAATGCATTTAATTATTTTAATATTATCAGAGTTTTTTGGGCCTGCTGGGAGAAGCGGTGAACAAAAACGTGCCAAAAAAAGGAAGAAGGGGATTTACAAGCGGGGGGTTAAAACATTTCCCGCCAAAGTTTATTTTGCCATTTAAATTTTAAAGTTCAATTTAGCCATTTTGGAATTGATAATTTGATGTATGATTTTTGAATGATGTCACCCTGAAGATGAGCACCAAATATATTCACCTGTGTTATCCAGAATTATCGCTCACAATTCTGAGCACAAAATTCCGTCAGAGTCGGCACACCCAAGTCTTTTTTGCGCAGCGGCGCCGACTCTCGCGCTCTACTCCCTCTCCCCCCCCGCTCTTCACCCGTCGCAACTTACTTGCAGGAGTCCAGGGGACGGGTCACTTGAGGTCCGGCCGCCTCGCTCTCAATCTGTGAGCCGATAGGCCAATTCTAGAAATCTCAGTCAGCTCAATGAAGGTGGGTTTGGGTGGGGATGGGGGGGAAAGGGGGTGAGGGAGGGGGATGGAGGCAGAGAGGAGGGGACATGTTTTGCCCCCCACCCATCGCAGGTTACTTGCAGGAGTACGGTGTAGGGGACTGGCTGGTCGCTTGAGCACTGGTCGCCCGGTTCGCGATCTGTGGGCTGATAGGCCAGTTTTAGATATCTCAGTGAGCTCAATGAAGGTTGGGTGGGGGTGGGGAGGGGGTGACGGAGGGGGATGGAGAGAAAGAGGAGGGGACAGGTTTTGAAAGGATGGAGACTGTTTGACTTCGCTGTGCAGGAACTGGAGCGGCTAGAGCTTGAGATGGAAGTGGCTATGGAGGAGAGACGGCCAAAAGCTGGAAAGCAGGAGGACATCGTTCAGGGGGACGCTGTGCTGCCAAGGGGTTCGGCCATCAGCTCTGTGGCAGGGCCTGTGCTAGTCCCTCTCAAGAATGGAGCTGCGGCGTCCAGAGGTCGATATTTCTCTCGTGCTCCCGTGTCTGTGGCTCAAAACAATACACTGTTGAAAGCTCCATCATGACACAAAGTATTAAATAACCTTTTGTGAAGTTTCGTTGTATCTGAGAGTTTGAAAGACAGACCACTCTTCAACAACAAGGTGGCAAACTTGCGCCCTCAAAAACCGCCAGGAAAACGAAAAAGAAAAACGACGCGAGGAAAGCAAAAAAGAAAAAACATGAAACTGCCCGCGCTGGGGGAACGAAAAAGGAAAAAATCGAAAAACGAAACAAGGAAAATGTAGTGCTATGGTCATGGATGGAAGGTGCTTATGCATGACTGGTCATCTGGCCGAGGGCGCCGCTTTCTCGTGGTGAAGCGTTGTTGCATGTAATTAATGAATGGAGTTGAAGCACTTCATAGATGACGGGCAGAAGTGCTAATTTGGACAGGAGTAGAGAGGCAAAATCATAAACACCATGCGCACTCGCACTATAAGAGTTTCTGGACTGAATGTGGCCACTGGAGCTGTCGTATGCATCTGGGGAAGTCCCAGTGTGAGTACGTGCCCAGTGTGTGGTCCCCACAGCTGGGCCGATCAACTCTTGCAAAACTCTCATACCATGATTTTGATCACCGGGGGCAGATGATGGTAATTAATGAACGACAGACGCGGCAGTCTATGGTAATGCCGTGATTAGCGGTGCTGATAAGAAATGCCCTTTGGGAAGTTTGGGGGAAAAAAAAACAAGAATTTTATCACTGCAGACTGCAGTTTATTAGAGGAAATACCACTGTGTGTGAGGAGACATGTGCGAGGCCGTAACTTGTAAGCTCATCAGGGGGCCTTGATGGTAGCCACTGTTTGAGATGGTCTATCGCTGATTTGGCGATTTCACATAGGCAGAGCGCCAGTTTGTCATTTGCTTTCGACGTGTAGTATCAGAAGCCTTTGCTCAACTGAAGTTGTTCTGTGTGTTGGTCAGATAAACATTGGGAATCAGCAGCGCGGACACGTGTGAAGGAAATACAAGAGCATCTTCTGGCAGAGTAAGGGCCTCTTCGTTTTCTATCGATGTGTGTGTGTGTGTGTGTGTGTGTGTGTGTGTGTTTTGTGTGTCAGGGGGAACGAGCGTTTCCGTCAGTCTGCTGCTCAATTCCCACATAGCTTGGTAAATGCCCAAACACCTCTGTTTTTCAGATCCGTAGTCATATGCCAGATGATTTTGATGTGAGCTTCAACAGAAAGTCTCGTTACATGCCACTGAGTTTGCAGAGATTTAATTCAATATATCAAAGAAATGAACAACAAAAAGATTCGTCCTTTGGGACATCCGTTAATATTGGAACGATACAGAGAAGATTGGCATGGGCCCTGCACAGGGATGACACACATAAATCGAGAAATGGTCCAAAAAAAAGACAAATTGCTTTTTTTCTAGGGTGTTTTTCCGGGCGCCCGGGCACCCACCCAACTTGAGCCCGGATACACGCCTGGTTGCCCGGCCGGCCATGACCCCCGGGCAGGGTTCCGGGCAGCCCCAGCGTCAAAAAAAAAAAAAAAAAATTCAAAAAATCAAAAAATTCCAGGAAAAAAAATATGTTGTGTAGAATTGCAATACAAACAACTTTTGGCTTAGGGTCACATCAGAATTCCTCACGGAATCGGAGATTAAAAAAAAAGAAAAAAACAGTTTAAATCACACTAAAAGACCCCCCTTTAACCCCTCTCAGCCCCTTTAAAAACAATTTATACCCCCCTTTCCCCCCCTTGACAGCCAACTCTTAAAAAATGAAATGAGCCCGGATTTGGGGTCCTCTGGGAGAGCGTATAAAGGCAAGCTTTTTTTTTTCTTTTTTTTCTTTTTTTTCTTTTTTTTTTGGCACGCCCGGGTGCCCGGCCGGGCATGAAAAACTTCCTAGCTTTTTTTAATTATATAGAACTTCTTCCTGGACATGGCCATTAGTAGTTTTGAATTCTTCATCTTGTTCAATTTGAATTTCTTCTAATTTTCTAGTGTTTCACCCCTCTGAATTCTGTACGTACATCCTACTTCAGAACCTATTTTTTGGACCATTTCTTGATTTGTGTGTGTCATCCTTGCGCAGGGGCCATGCTAATTTTCTCCAATTTGAATGGATGTCCCGAAAGGACAAGATGGTTTGTTTTCTAAAATTCGGTTTGAAAGGATTTCATGCTGCAGACCCCTGAAAGCCTGGCACCAAATCCCCAATGTTCTGGAAGTTTCAAAGTCCCAAGTCCGAGGATTCAGTAGATTAGGCTTGATAGGCTAGTAGGGACGTCGTAGGTCTAAGTAGGCCCAGGATCCGGAGGGGTTTGGAAGGTCGAGGATCATACAGTCAGTCCGGTGCCCTACAGAAGGCAAGTCCAGTCCAGTCTCCGAAGCCCACAAAAACTGCAGCAAGTCCCAGGAAAGTCCGGGGAGCTTCCGGCAGCAGACAAGCCGCGGCTGACGGGTACCGGTCTGAAGCAGCCCAAGCCACGACCAGTCCTATGTTTAGCTGCTACAGGGCAGCGGTTCATCAGTTGTTCATTCGTGATAGTTGCGGAAGCGCTCCTGCTGCTGGTGTGACCAAGAGACTTGGGCAAGACAACGCTCGGAGGAGGAGGGAGCGTCAACGTCAACCGGAGCTAGGGTAGCGATAGGGAAGCAGGGCGGCCATAGCCGCCAATGTCTAACTCTGAGCTGAGGGTATGTATTCAGGGCACGATCCAAGGCAGGAGAGAGGGACTGTGAGGCTTGAGCGATACAAGACCAGAGAGAGAGAGAGAGAGAGAGAGAGAGAGAGAGAGAGGTCAGTTACATACCTGGTTCAAGTCTGAGTCTGTGTGAGCGGCAGAGACCGTAGGAGACATGAACACTTTCAATAAAGATATTTTGCGTACCAATCTCTCGTGCGATTCTTGTGTCTCGGCTATTGGTTTCAAGTGCGAACACTCATCTGGATGCTCTTTGCATGTGTATGCGAGGAGGGTGATCAACTTGAGAATCATTGCAGCTTATATGATTTATATCATATATTTTGTTTGATAGTTGACTTGCAATTTTGTTGAATAGAAGTAAGATCACCACTGGAAACTTGAAGCCTAGGCCAAAGGATAATTTGTTATTGACACAATTTACACAAATCTTTTTATGACTTATAAGCTGTCTTGCTGTAGAAATAGTAGAGCAAAAATTCGTACGCACAAGAAGAATGTTCAATCTTTTTTCTCCATTAATAATAACGAACTCTTTTGTTTGTCTAAATAAGTGCACGTTTTTTTCCCTACTTTTTAAACAGGCAGATTACCTTTAAAAATATATTACTTTTTAATCGCTCGTGTTTTTCGTAAAATTCACCGGCCTTGTTTGCGGAAGGATAACTCATAATAATAATTAATCTGTGCAAGGTCTTGTCTCTCTCTTTTTTCCCGTCTTCCACCTTTCGGCTCCTCTTGTTCCACTCACCACCTCATCAAGTCGTCATCCAGACGACTGCTGCATGTGAACTCACTTTTCCCAATCTCCATACCTTGCCAAGCAAGTCCTCCATCCCAGGTTGATATCTCACTGCCGCTGGCATCACACAGCCACTGCTAAGAAAAGCAATTCTGGATATGGCAATAGCAGCCTTTAGAAGCGAGAAGCGCTGTGCCTTAAGTAAAGAATGGCAAGGATGAAATGTTAAGGTATTCACCCGAGAGCCTGTGAAAGGGGACTGCATTTGTAAAGATAATGCATTGAGATCTAAAGGGGGAAAAGAGAGGGAGGTGGGTGTGTTGTTCTCTGTGTGGGGGGGGGCTGTGTGGGGGGGATGACGCAAGGTGAGGTGAGGCGAGGTGTCATCTCCCCATACTGATGCCTGGTCTGCAGTTATACATTCGCTAAATGGCTCTGCCACTGATATGGGGTCTGTTGGAATTGTGAAGGGAGAGGGCTGCATTGAAGACAGAGATTGCTGTTCGGCGTGCTCGCCAACGATTGGCTTGGCGTGAGAGGCAGATGGCATTGGAGTCGTACACACTGAGAGAGACTCAGCTGCTTGCAGAACTTGACAGGTATATATGGCAGCTTCTAGATCCCCAGATTTGTCTATTACGTTCATGTCCCTTTCATACTCCTCGCCCTCCTCTGTCGCCCTATTTTTTACTTTTCTCTCATCTGTCTTCTTCTTCTTCCTCCTTACAGATTGTGACATAACTTAAAAAATTTTCCTTGTTTTCTTTCATTTTAAAATTTTCCTTCTTTTCTATCATTGTGTTATTGTTCTTGTTTCCTCTTTTTCTTCTTTTGCTGCCACTGTCGATGTGGTTGTCGTCAGCGTCATCTTTTGAAATGCAACCTTTGAAGACATATCCTTTCACATCCCACTTGTAATGTCAAATGTCATCAAGGTCATGCGGATGCTGGCCACCTGCAGAAATTGGGTGGAGGCCCCCATGGATTCCCATAGTACGCTTTTGGCATGCACCCAAGTTCTTGCAGGTGACTGTAGTGAATATGGTGAAGGCATAGTCTCACCCCATCAGTAATGGTGCAAGGTAGCAATTTCAAGGGTTCGGCTGTTCTCCTCTAAGTTGGCTCTAACGTTATTACGTCACGTTAGTGCATTTTGCTTGATGGGTTCTCCTTCCATAGCCTCATTCTAGTGCATGCCTTGACATCACCTAGTGAGGTGTTGTTTGGTTCATGTGGATTGCAGGGTAAGGGCCACGGAGGCAGAGAAGGAGATAGAGAGGAAGAAAGCTCTGGAGATGGAGCGTGCAAGGACAAGAGAGACCCGACATAACTTGGAAATTGAAGCTGAGAAGAGAGCACAGGTTCGCCCTGCCCCGATGAATTACAAACTTTCAGACATATAATAATAATTATCACAGAAGTTTGCAGCTCGATGTCAGTGCATCAGCTAAATCATGCATGGCAGCAAGAGAACCCGTGTGGCCAGCAGGCAGATTTAGTTATGCTGGCTGCCTACCATGACTGTATATTGCAGGCAAACATCAGACAACACATGACAGTGATTCGCAACATTATGAACAGTGATTTAGTTGAGTGGAGTAATTGTACGAGTGTGTCGCCATCCACACATCGATTGGCAGGTGATTTGTAACATTCACCGATTTGAATGCACGAGTGTCAGCATCAGCATCCGCATCAGCATCAGCGTCAGCATCATGCTCACACAGATAGTAAGGTGATTTGGCAACAGCGATCATGTTCACTGTACACGACCTTAGTTGAATATGCAGCAATTGTACAGATGTCAGAATCAGCATCGTGCACACATAGATAGGCAGGCATCAGAGAGTCTTCAGCATCCTCCTGTTCTGCACATGAATCCGCACGTCAGCAAAACGGCGATGACACTGTGGTGCTACCTTCTTCCCCCGAATGCAATGTACGATCATTATAGCTGTATATCGACTGAAAGATACCCCAAATACAGCTATAATGATCGTACATTGCATTCGGGGGAAGAAGGTAGGTCAGTGCTCAGAAGGCTTGAAAGTTGGGGGTGTGCGCAAACTTAGCATGAACATAGCACCAATTGAGGGGGCCTGACATCAAGTCACAGTGCAAGAGTGCTGGTGGTGTCTATGTTCTGTCTTTGATGTGCCTTCGTGCTGTTGTGAATGGTCAGGGGGGGAAGCGCTTTCAGCTACCGAACCTGGAGGAATTTCACCAAACCCAGGTCAACAGGAGGGAAAGGCTTTCGGCTAACCGCGGTTACAACTCCAGTGGGCTGTCCAACAGTCGAGGAAATATTTCTTGCAAAAGCGAGCTCATCCGAAGATGCGATTTTTTCTAGCTACGACGCACTTGCGAAGGTGAGAGGCACTCCCACGCACCTACGCGGCAACCAGCGCTCCGACGATATTTCTCACCCTCTAAACTCCCCCACGCGTGAACCAGTAATGTGCCGAGCAGATGAACCACACTATACAACACCTATTGAGGCATTACATTAAGCCCATTCAGGTGGACGAGGACGAGAAGCTTGCTCTCGTCGCCAGCCTGTACAATAACGCAGTCCACAGCACAGCAGGAGTTAGTCCCAACAATCTGCTCTTAACTTTCAAGCCTAGACTGCCTCTAGATTTTCTATTACCTGAGAACCAGCCCACTGTTGCGCCTGGCACTCTAAGTTGCTTACCGATGTGAGCGCCACATGCAGCAAGCAGTGGAAAACATGCACCAAGCACAAACGGCGATGATAGAATCCGAAAACCAACACCGTCGCCCGTCTACATTTCAGGTTGGGGATAGAGTCTGGGTTACGGCGTCCGAAGTGGGACTATTACGCGTGTGCCGTCCCGTCGGACTCATCAGTGGCCAGACAGGCACCGCAAATGTCACAGAAGGACGAGGAAGTCCTGTAAATAACGATCAAGCACGGAGGCACTTTCAGTTAACCGGGGCCGTAACCCATTTCATATTTGCTTCCAATGATCCGGTCGTCTGTTGTAGACTTCACCGGAGTTATCACTGGGGCCATTGGACGCCAGTTTATGCCCCTGACAAATGGCTGTAGAGTAATCTTCATGGCCATGTCTCTTGCAACTGCATAGCACATGGCTGGAGGAAAAGAAAGCACTGAGGGGTGCAGGTGCCGTCAGTAGCAGCCCATTTGAAAGCAGGCTCGAAGCCTAGGTAGGAGTAGTGTTGGGAGACTGCCTGCCTTCCTTTTTTTTTCCTTCCCCCGACCCCACACGAAGCACGCAGGTCTCACACATCTTGCTGGCAGGTCAGCTTGCTGGCACTTTGATTGGCTCTGCTCTGGCTCCACAAAAGATGGCCTCTGTCTCAGAGTGTCTGCGAATATCAGGACCCTCCCTGCCTTTATGGCCTTGTTGAACCCAATGAGGCTGATTGCTATCGTCTTCACCCGAATAGAACGCCCCGGTAATTATTGCTGCATCTGAACCGAAAGTTGTGCCAAATACACAGCTATAATGACCGGGGGTTCTATTTGGGTGCTTGCACCATGGGGCACCACTGAGGTAACGAGGCACCCAGGTTACGTGGATGAAGACAGACAGGTATGGAGGGCGGCTTCTCTCCAACGGCTGTGTTGGAACACTACGATCACTCCACTTGCATGGCAGGTGAGAAAAAGCACTATGCTCCTCTTGTTACGAGTCTTATGACCCTTACTCTCCCTGCATGGGCTCGCCAGCCCTCTCCTTCTTGTGTCACTAATCCCTTGTATTTTGTTGTTGTTTGCCCCAATTTTTTGCCTTTCTTGCAGAGAGAGCTGGACCAACGGGAAGCCACTGCTGTTGCACCAAGACCGCGCAGAGAGTATCCAGGCAGTACAACAGCCAGGTAAGGTTTCGTGGACAAGCAACTTGAACGAACACTCTGTCTTGAGAAAGTGACTTGCAAGAGCTTGTCTTTTGCTTTACTCGGGGTTTATGAAATGTCTTTCAATTTTTGTCGACTTCACAACGAGCCGGCATATCATGTCAGGAATTCATTAAGGAGAGAGGAGAGAGATCAAACTTTAAAAAGCAGATTGCCTTACCAACCAGCCTATTCAGTTAATACACCCCTGGACTGTTCAAATACAGTTCTGAGTTCCAACTCCACGGGAAGCAGGTGAGTAAAATACGGAAAAAGAAGATCGCCTTTGCTTCACCTAGAGGTACTCAGCTGCCACAGATGGCTTTTTCTTTTTTTGAGAGGGGGAGAGAGAGAGAGAGAGAGAGAGAGCTCACACCCGTCGTTGTGGTACCTGACTACTAAATTTAGAGGGAGAGCTCACACCCGTCGTTTTGGTACCTGACTACTAATTTTTTTGCTTTTCGATCTTAGACATCTGTCTACGCCGCGCCATTCGGTGCAGCAACTGTGATTGTGAGAATTGGATGCGGTGCTTCCACACAGAGAGAGAGAGAGAGAGAGAGAGAGAGAGAGAGAGAGAGAGTTCACACCCTTCGTTGTGGTACCGGACGACTATTTTTTTTGCTTTTCGATCTTTAGACATCTGTCTACGCCGTGCCTTTCGGTGCAGTAACTGTGACTGTGAGAAGTGGATGCGGTGCTTCCACAGGCCATACCCAAACCGGTCCCGCCCGGTCTGTAGAGGTGGCCACTTGCCATATGCACTCACCATAAACAACGACTGCTCGTCCGATCTTGCGCAACCCACACACCGACTGGCCTCATGTGTCATTCTAGAGTGCTCTGCCCTTGAAATGGATTGCTCCTTAAAATGGAAAGCTTGCGAATGTCTGGCATTCAACGTGATTTTGCAATCTGGAATTCTGTCATTTTGCTATTGCTCATTTTCCTTGCATCGGTCTCAATTCTGCGTACAAATATATATAAAATGATATTACAATGTGCATTTTAACGGAATAGCTGTTCCATGGAGAACCCCAAATGTAGGATGCGCAATGCAGGACAAGTGAACACAGCAGACCGATGTGCATTTCATCGGTCTCACCATAACATGCGTTTCTAATTTGGCGCGAGAGCACCCTAAAGCCAAGAACAAAAGGAAAGGCACTCACTGCACAGTGTCTGGTGGAAATTGATCCCACAGCCGATCCACTTTAATGTGCTGTTGGGGGTTTGGTTCATGTTGCTAGTTATCATATGCCGCGTGAAAGGAAGGAACAATCGTCCGCCGCAGCAACAGTAGGGAAAGTGGCCTTCCAGTTGACTTTGCCTGAAGTTGCTCTACCTTGTTTATGATAACGAAGATGATGGCGGCAATGATGATGATGATGATGATGATGATGATGATGACGATGATGATGATGATGATGATGCCGACGATGATGATGACGGATGCATGCATGCAGCCGCACTCGGTATCGAGAGAGAGAACGGGATAGCATCCGCCCTTCAACGGGATCTGGAGGGAGTGTGACCCCAGAAACAGGAGGTACTAAACTCACGACATCGGCAGGAGGAATTGTCTCGGGAACTTCAACTCCAATTGGGAGTGTGGCAGGGGGATCTAGTACTTCTTCAGGGTCAAGTCCCCTCAGAAGCCGAACACCAAACGCAGTACCACCTGGACCTGCGCATATTCTCACAGCCTCACTCAATGCGTCTGCGTCAAGTGGGAACGTGGGGAAGTCGCTCTCAGCCCAAGCGCTGGCACAGATTGGAATCCGAGAACGAGATCGGGACCGGGATCGGGATCGGGATCGAGAACGGGACCGAGAACGGGAACGGGATAGGGAACGGGATAGGGAACGAGATAGGGAACGAGATAGGGAACGAGAACGGGAAAGGGAACGGGAAAGGGAAAGAGACCGTGAGAGAGACAGGGAAAGACATGATCAGTCTGCAGCACACTATGAGGCACATGAGGGTGAAGGGGGTGCTGGGGTGAGAGATGGAGGAAGCACAGAGGGTGCTGGCTATGGAGAAGTGGACGGAGGAGCAGGTGGAGCAAGTGGGATTGGAGGCGAGTCAGCAAGTGGAGCTACTGCTGGTGGAGGGGCCTTCAGGGGAGGGTCCAGGCCTGTTCGATTGCGGCAAGTGGCCGAGAGAAGAGAGAGGGATGGCAGAAGGGAAGGGAAATGGGAGCGCAAGCAGAATTGATTTCAACGAGTTTTGATATTTCAGCGAAGACATCCAACCGTTTTGCAGTCTGGCAAGGAAACACTACTGTTTTGCTGTCTGATTGAAATGGCATGCATCTGGTGGGAACTCGTACGGGCGGATTTTGGGCAGAAACTTGTTATTAGAAGGGTGTGCGCATTCTAGTTCTCGGCTGAAAGCTTGACGACTGCCCTCGCTGGAGCAGAACGAGAATGGACACACTGAGATTACACCACCTTGTACCTCATCTTCGCCCCCCCCCCCGCCCCCCGACTATGCCTGTGCAGTATGGTGGGAGTTCATTCTCTGCACCTGAGAACTGCAAGCTAAGCACCGCCAGTGTGCCTTTCCCGGCATCGGGCTGCGCTCACATGTGAGGTGGGTTTCTTGTTATTGTGGGGCTCTACCACTTTTGTGTTTCAGCTTCGCACTCTCTGTGCATCCTTCCCTGAGAACGACTGTCCATTTCGGTGTGGTGAAAAGTCGGCTCAAATGCCTATCCATTGCAACAAATTCGACAGCAAGGACTTCGTTATTCTTTTTGAGCTAATCATGGTTTCTTTGAGCTAATCATGGTTCCAAAAGCTTGTTTGAATGTGAATTGTTTCTTTGAGCTGATCATCTGCCGAAATTTTACTTTTTTTATTTTTTTTTCAAGTGGTACGCGCCTTTCACACCTAGGAGGTCCTCATTCTCAATGCGACATTGTCGTGCATGCCAGCGAACGTTTTTTGTTTCCCTTTTAAACCCAGCACCTCACGAAGACAAACGTGAGAATCGACGTCAAGCCAATCCAAAAACTTCGGAGGCTCGGGGCTTGCAGACCAAAATACCTGCCAGCACCAGCCAAAGGGAGGGCGGGAGGGGGGAAGGGGGGGAGGGAGCGGCGGGGGGGGGGSGGGGGGGRACACCGCACTGACGTGTTGGCAAAGCTTGGCGCGCATTGGGAATCCACCTCGCCAAAAGGAGGGCTTGGGGCCTTGGAGGTACTGATGGTTTGAAGGAAACTGTGTGTGTGTGTGTGTGTGCGTGTGTGCGCGCGCGTGCGCATGTTTGTTTGTGCGTGTGCTAGTATGTATGTGTGTGGAGGGGGAGGGGATGTTAATTACCGTGCAGGCAACCCACCAACAATGACGAGGAATGCGGGATGACCAGAAAATAGAGGTTAAAACTTAAAACTAGAAGCAAAATGAGACAAGGGTATACTTGTACATTACTATATTAGTATATTCACACCACCGTCTTCACCGAAAGTAACGCCCGGACATTGTATACGATGTAACGCTCCCGGCGGGCGTTATATTCGTTTATAACATCCGGGCATTACAATCAGTAGATTGGTAGCAACTCTGGTGGGGCCCCAAAAAAAATTAAAAAAAAAAAAAAAAAAATTAAAAAAAATGATAAAAGACTCTGTAAAAAAAACTTTTGAAAGTATGTTGTCTAGAAAGGCAATGCGACCAACTTTGGGCTGAGGGTGGGTGGGGACGGAGATGTTAATTACCATGCACTGGCATGCAGGCAACTAGCAAGCAAAATGAGAGGGAGGGTGGGGAGGGAGATGTTAATTACCCATCATCAATGGCAAGGAATGCGGGATGACCAGAAAACAGAGGTTATATCTAAAAACTAGGAAGCAAAATAAGAAGGGCATACTGACTAGTATATTCACACTGCTGTCTTCACCTGAAAATAACGCCCAGCAGGCGTTATATCCGCGTTTATAACGCCCGAGCCTTACAATCAGTAAAGTGGTAGCAAGTTACTAGCAGCTCCCGTGGGGCCCATTAAAAAAAAAAAAAAAAAAACTCCTGTAGAAAAAATATGTTGTCTAGAAATGTAATGCAACCAACTTTTTTTTTTCTCTTTTTTTTTTTATTTTTTTAAATAATAATTTTTCTTAAAAAATGCAACCAACTTTTGGCTGAGGGTCACTGAAGAATTCTTTACAACTTTGAAAAATTAGAAAAACGAAAACAAAAAATCACACCAAAACACACCCTGTCGAAGTCACAACCCCTTTTCAGCCCCTATTAAACGGTTATTAAACCCATGTGTACCCCCCTTCCCCCCACTCTGCGAGGAACTCTCCCCATGCCGCTTTAAAATATGCCCCCCTCCCCTTCCCTACCCCCTGGGCCTTATATTTGGCTAGAACGCCTGGGCGTTATATTTGAAGGGGTTTAACGCCTGGGCGTTACATTTGAAAAATAGTGAGTAAAAAGTACTAAAACCAAATTTAGGCCCATTTTAGGGTTCGTTGAATAGAACGCCCTGGCTTTTTTTTTTTTTTTTTTTTTTTTTTTTTAAATGAAGTCCAGGGTGTTGTAGAGGCCAGTCACTGAGTGCACATTGAACGATCACCTGGAGCTGTGAGCCACGGGTGTCCTGGAATATGAGACCACCTCCCATCCCATCCTCACGTCAATACTCCTAGGGTGAGGAGTAATGACCCCCTGTCCCTACTATCCTACCTCAGTGTGACCAGCACTCAGGACACCCGCGGCTCACAGCTCCAGGTGATCACTGTGCACTCAGTGACTGGCCTCTACAACACCCTGGACTTCATTTAAAAAAAAAAAGAAAAAAAAGAAAGAAAAAAAAAAGCCCCAGGACCATTGCCCTACCAGTGGGCAGGCAACTTGGACCGAACAGCAGTGAGGTGAAGATCGTAGGACTTTTCGGCTGATTATGGACGCAATTGTGGTCAGATTCATTCAAGATCATAGTAATAGTACGAGTATGCTCTGAGGAGTGTCCAGAAGTAAGAAGTCTTCCCCGAATGATGTTTTTTTTTTTTTTTTTTTTCCCAAAATGTCTCTGAAGGAGAAAGATGAGTGGGCGCTTCGCAGAACCGCCACTACCTGCAGATGATTCACAAATAAAGAACCCTCAGAAATGATGGACCTTGTTGGTTTTGGCACCTCAGGTTCAGCCTGAACTCTGACCATTGCCACCTCCACAGATGACAGCCTCACATGATGTGCAAGTCTTATATTCTACCTCAGGTTTGCAGCACACTGTTCTTCCGTTTTCGCTATCAGGCATGTCTCTCTCTCATAAACCTCTTCACATGTGTTGGCATCTCTCTCTCTCATAAACCTCTTCACATGTGTTGGCATCTCTCTCTCATAAACCTCTGCACATGTGTTGGCATCTCTCTCTCTTACACGGCCTCCGCATGTGTCTGTGTGTGTTTGTGTGAGAGAGGGATTGTGTGTGCCAGAGTGTGAGTGTGAGTGTGTGTGTGTGTGTATGTGTGTGTGTGTGTGTGTAAGAGAGAGAGAGAGAGAGAGAGAGAGAGAGAGAGAGAGAGAGATAGATAGATAGATAGATAGATAGATAGATAGATAGAAAGAGAGAGAGATCCTAAATCCCCGTTACCATCTACCCCCGGGTGGAACATATGGTCCATTTGATTGAAGTTTCAGTCTAAGATACAACCATAATGACCTTTCCATTCGGGCGAAAACAGTATATTGGGGCCCATGAGCATGTCTCCCTCTCACAAGAACACACCGACTTTGCCGAGTCAGGTCATACTCCCATAGCCCTCGTCTCTCTCTCTCTCTCTCTCTCTCTCTCTCTCTCTCTCTCTCTCTCTCTCTCTCTCTCTCTCTTCTTGCTTGCCTCACGTGCGTGCACTTGTGTGTGTGTGTGTGTGTGTGTGTGTGTGTGAGAGAGAGAGAGAGAGAGAGAGTGCGTGTCTCCATATCTGAATCTGACACTGATATCCGTCCAGATTACAAGGCCAACTGAGGCAAAGTGGGCGGGCTGGGCAAGAAACTATAGGCAAATGATTTCGGTGTGGCGTTTTCATGTGAGGCATTCGCATGAAGGCAGACACAGCGAGTCAGTTCACACAAGATGAACACGCAGAGATTCGACAACTTTGTGGTCGCAAAACGTCAAACGGGACTTTGAAAATGCCGACAAAAAGACCGTAAAAAACACAGCATCCCAAGTGTAAGCGCGCGAGAAACGTGGGTAAGTCCTACTGTCCTACACACTCGGAATGTCTGCGTTTCGACGCTTGAAGAGGTCTCATCTAATCGCTAAACCATTATTAATAGTAAAAAAAAACAAAAAAACAAAAAAAAACAAGCACTCACTAACTTCTTACTGGCTACAATCTTTCTCACCAACTCGATTCGAATTCTCCATTAGAATCACATAAACAACTCCTAATTCTTTCAGAAAAGGCCTTCCTGAATAGCTAAAGCCAAAGCCAAAAGGAAAGCCAAAAGGCAAAAAATGCAAAAAAGACAAAATATATATAAAAGAGGGGCAAACGGCAAAGAAGGCAAAGGTCGCCCTAGCCAAAGGTCCTAGAGAAACTGGGAAAAACCTTGATCAACCCACTTCACAACTTTCATCACAGTACCCGGTCCATGCCTGTAGTCCTGATGTCAAAGATCACCTGCCTTGCTACCTGCGCCCAGTCAGGGGCACTAAGTCTGACACAAAAATAATTTGTCCTTGGGAAACACGAGCACTCCAACCTGTAGGGTTTCGTTTTCCTTTTCCCATCCTTACTTCTGTAGGTAATACTGTATCTGGGGCGCTGGACCCGTTTTCCAGCAGGTGATGCTCCCCACCAATAGATGGAGCCTCTCCTCAGGTGCTAGTGGTGTCTGCTCTTACCAGCACCGCTAGCACTGGAAGGGAACTTTTTAAAAAAAAAAAAAAAAAAAAAAAAGGTTTTGCTGGTAATAGGAATATCTGAAAAAACTCTCACCCATATTTTACCATTTCTCCGAAATTTCCTGGTGATGGCACGACGCGCCGCTTCAATTCCTTGATATGATGTGCGACTAGTCCTGATGTCAAAGGTCACCTGCCTTGCTACGTGCGCCCAGTCAGGGGCACTAAATCTGACAAAGCGCCAAAGAGAGTGCGCTCGAAGAGGTCAGCAGGGGCACTAAGTCGGACAAAGCGGCAAGGAGTGTGCTCGAAGAGGTCAGCAGGGAAGGACTGCTTTCTTAATTCGCGGTTCAGCGAGAACAACCCTTCACCTGCCCTTTCGGCAAACATCATACATTCCCGGATTTTGTGCAGCATCCCGTTTATCAAAGTTCTCTTCTGTTTCGTACACGTGTATCAACACTAGTCCTGGAAGCACTTCTACCCCAATTGCGGGCCATCCTCCCAGATTTCCTAAAAGTTTTTTGCCCGGTACCAACTTGACACCACTCCATCATTGATTTGCACCCGACACCCCAAAAAGCTCCATTCCTTTTTTCCATCATCAGTCTTTTTCAATGACAGTTTGGGATCATACGATCTTTTAAATTTGTCAATAATGCCTTTCGCTTTTCCCCGCTTCTTCTTCCCCAACTCTGCTAGACAAACAACGAAACGTCGTCTACTAATCTAATCCCTCTCACAAGCCCGATGTCTCTCCCCAAGCTTTCTAAAAATTGGCTTTCGTAATATCTACAAAGAATGCATGTGATAGGAGGGCTGCTCGACTTCCCCATTGGTATGCCCTCCTTCTGCCTAATCAGTCGGTCAGAAGCCCACAAAA